GCCCAGGCTGGAGTGCAGTGGCACAATCTCAGCTCACTGCAACCTCCGCCTCCCGGGTTCAAGCAGTTCACCTGCCTCAGCCTCCCAAGTAGCTGAGACTACAGGCAGGCACCACCACACCTGGCTAATTTTTTGTGTTTTTAGTGGACACAGGGTTTCACCGTGTTGGCCAGGATGGTCTCCATCTCCTAACCTCATGATCCGCCAGCCTCGGCCGCCCCAAGTGCTGGGATTACAGGTGTGAGCCACCGCACCTGGCCTATTTTGTGTATTTCAAAATACACTTTTTATATTTAAATAAAAAGTATCCTACCTTCCAATGCTTGCTTTTTAAACTTAAAAAAACTTTTTGAATTTAGCCACATTGAGAAATACAAGTTTATTAATTTTAACTGATGTAGTCTACTATATGAATGAACGAAATGAGAGACAGGGTGTTTCTACCACTCACTGCAGTCTTGACCTCCTGGACTCAAGCAGTCCTCCTCACCTTAGCTTCAGCTGGGACTATAGGCCCTTGCCACTGTGCAATTAAAAAAATGGTTTTTGTAGAGGCAGGGTTTCCCTATGTTGCCCAGGCTGGTGTCCTGGACTCAAGTGATCCTCCCGCCTCGGTCTCCCAAAGTGCCAGGATTATAGGTGTGAGCCACTGTACCCAGCCTGTGATGTCTTCTGTTGAAAAGTTTTAATGTATTTACACACACACACACACACACACACACACACATATATATGTATACACACACACATACTATATATATATATATATATATATATATACACATACATATACATATAATTATTTGTTTTGAGATGGAGTCTTGCTTTGTTGCCAGGCTGGAGTGCAGTGGCATGATCTGGGCTCACTGCAACCTCCATTTCTAGGTTCAAGTGATTCTCCTGCCTCAGCCACCCCAGAAGCTGGGACTACAGGAGTGTGCCACCACACCCAGCTAATTTTTGTATTTTTAGTAGAGATGGGGTTTCACCTTGTTAACCAGGATGGTCTCGATCTCCTGACCTCATGATTTGCTTGCCTTGGCCTCCCAAAGTGCTGGGATTACAGGTGTGAGCCACCACGCCTGGCTGAAAAGTTTCTATTTTAATGGGATATATAGTCTCTCTCTTTCTCCCTCCCTTCCTCTCTCTCCACAAATCCCAGGGACATTTATTGAATATTCTATTTAACTGTTTTATAATGCTGCTTCCGTCATATACCAAGTTGCCATATGTTTATAGGTCTATTTCTGAGTTCTCTTTTCTATTCCTGTATTAGTCTGTTCAGGATGCCATGATAAAATACCCTAGACTGAGTGGCTTAAACAACAGACATTAACTTTCTGGCAGTTCTGGAGGCTAGAAGTCTATGAGCAAGGTGCCAGAATATTTCACTTCTGGTAAGGGCTCTCATCCTGGCTTGCAGATGGCTGTCTCCTCACTACATTTTCACATGGCCTTCTTTGATGCACACGCGCGTGCGTGCACACGTGTGTGTGTGTGTGTGTGTATAGACAGCGAGCAAGTGAGAGAATTCTCTGGTCTCTTCTTAGAAAGACACTTTATTGGCCAGGCTCACACCTGTAATCATAGCACTTTGGAAGGCCAAGGCAGGTGGATCACCTGAGTTCAGGACTTCAAGACCAGCCTGTCTAACATGGTGAAATGCTGTCTCTAGTAAAAATACAATGTTAGGCCAGGTGCAGTGGCTCACGCCTGTAATCCCAGCACTTTGGGAGGCTAAGGCAGGTAGATTATGAGGTCAAGAGATCGAGATCATCCTGGTCAACATGGTGAAACCCTGTCTTTACTAAAAGTACAAAGAATTAGCTGGGCATGGTGGCACATGCCTGTAGTCCCAGCTACTTGGGAGGCTGAGGCAGAAGAATTGCGTGAACCTGGGAGGCAGAGGTTGTGGTGAGCCAAGATCACACCATTGCACTCCAGCCTGGGCAGCAAGTGAAACTCCGTCTCAGAAGAACAAAAACAAAACCAAAATACAAAATTAGCTGGCATGGTGGTGCACACCTGTAATCCTAGCTACTCGGGAGGCTGAGGCAGGAGAATCGCTTGAGCTGGGAGGCGGAGGTTGCAGTGAGCTGAGACTGTGCCACTGCACTCTAGCCTGGGTGACAAGAATGAAACTCTGTCTCAAAACAAACAAAAAATAAGAAACTTACTGGATCAGGGCCACAGTATTCTGACCTCATTTAACCTTAATTACTTCCTTAGAGGCCTCATCTCTAAGTACAGCTACACGGGGGTTTAGGGCTTCAGCATGTGATTTTGCAGGGTGGGAGACACAAACATTCAATCTAACACTCTCATTAGTCTTGTTAATCCCTGAACTACTATCAAAGCTTTATGGTAAATCTGATATCTTGTTGGGTGAGTCCATCCTTGTTAATATTTTTCTTCTTCCATAAGAATTTTGGAATCACCTTGTAAAGTTCCATGAAAAACCCATGTTAGGTCTAAATTTTATTTAATTTACAGATTAATTTAGAACTGAATTGCCATCACTATGATAAGTTTTCATATTTGTGAATGTGGAATGTTTGTCTATTTACATTTTCCTTTGAAAATAAAGTCTTATAATTTCGATGTAGCATCTTACATACCTTTCGGTAAGTTTATTCTTAGACACCTTGTGGTTTCTGTTGCTCTTTTAAGTAGTTTCTTTTAAAATCATATATTTCTTTTTTTTTTGAGATGGAGTCTTACTCTGTCACCCAGGCTGGAGTGCAGTGGCTCCATCTCGGCTCACTGCAACCTCTGCTTCCCCTGTTCAAGCGATTCTCATGCCTCAGTCTCCTGAGTAGCTGGGACTACAGGCACGTGCCGCCACACCTGGTTAATTTTTGTATTTTTAGCGGAGACGGTGCTGGTCTCGAACTCCTGACTTCAAGTGATCTGTCCACCTCGGCCTCCCAAAGTGCTGGGATTAAAGGCGTGAGCCACCATGCCCAGCTAAAAAAATCATACATTTCTCATTGTTCATTGTCAGTATTAAGGAACACTATTGCTTTTGTGTCTGGTAACCTTGTGGAATTCAATCACTTCTAGTGATTTGACTGTAGATTCTCTTAGATTTTGTGTGTTGATAATTCTATTAGATTTTTCCTTTTCCCAATCTCTATACCTTTTGTTTTTCTTGTCAAATTGTACTAAGATTTCCATCACAATGTTGAATAGAAGATAGTAAGCATCTCCAAGGAAATGCTCCTGAAGTGTCACCATAAAATACAATTTGTGTAAGTTTGGATAGATACCTATATTAAGATAA